GGCTCTGCTTTCACGTGGCCGGCCAGTGCAGTCTCCATTCAGGACTGTCACAAAGTCCCATGAGCCGAGAAGTGGCCAGTCGTGTTCTAACACATTGTCTGTTTTGTTCCCCCCTGTTGGGTTCATTCTCTTATCTTTGGGGTCTCAGATTTCTTGGTTCTTTGCCAATGAGGACTTTAGGACATGTACTGCTGAGATTTCTTCCAGCTCGTACACACTGTGCACTTGCCATTAGAAGTCTTGGCTGCTTCTCTTTTTCGGGACACCAGGAGCTGGCCGGGTCAGGCAGCCTGTGAAATGCCTGAGAGTTCAGGCTCTGATCACGTCAGAGTCAGCTTGTGTACCTTAAAGACAGCAGTCTCGGTGATGAGAATAGGACCAGGCAGCGCAGCAAGCAGCTTCTGTCCCTCGGGGCCAGCTGTGGGAACTGCAAGGGACGGGGTCTCAGCAATGGGTGTCGTGTGCAAGCACGTTTTGGTTTTCTGTCCATAAATTTGAATGTGCCCTTTTCTAAAAGGGTGTCTGTGGAGAAGGAGAGTCCTCCACGTGGCTAGGGCACGTGTCTGCGGTACCAGTACCCTCCCAGGACGTCACGATGCCATCAGAGCCACGCGTACTCCTCGTTCCCCCGCTCCCCACTGTACCGACATCTGTTCTTTGAACACAGTCACCTTTGGGAGCCAGGCAGAGAGCTCCGGTGGCTGGTCTGTATGAGATCTCCAGGTCATTACTGAGAGAAAACGGCCAGCGGGCGATGATAACGTGCGCTGCATTCCAACATGTGGCTGAAAAGGTGCAGCCACTGTGGGAGCAGCTGTTTCTGTAACAGTAGAACGAGGTCTGATACACACACAGCACATAATCGTTAAATGTGTTTAAAATGATGGTCAGATAGGCACAGAGAGTTTCCAGGTAAAACAAATTATTCTCTTTTCCTCCTCTTGTATCTGCCACTCCTCCTTCCGGGCTTCTGTTCCTTCATGATTCTCAGGAGTCCGAGTACTTCTGACTGGCACGAGTAAGGGTTCTAAAATGGAAATCATCATCTTTGTATTTGTCCAGAGATTCTCCAAAATGTAAAAGACAGGCCAAAACAAGAGTTGTAACCCGTGATCAGGGTTAGCGTGGAGCATATTTAGATGAACAGTTTATAATTACTATTAATTTGGTTTAAAAAATTCCCTTTTGACTACAGCAAAAAGAAGCTCTTTATGATCTATGGCAAATGGACGGAGTGTTTGTGGGGTGTAGATCCTGCCTCATATGAGTCCTTCAAGAAGCAGGAGAGGAGAGGCGAGCACCTCAAAAAGACAAAGCCGGTAAGGTGCCCACTGCGGGGCGACGGCCTTGGGCAGAGCAGGGCCCCGGAGGTGGGCGAGGGTGTCCTGGATGAGTGGTTAGAAATGAGCACTGTGCCTATCACAGTGAACAGTGAAGGAGTCAGGATACATCTGTTGTGCTAAATGAGTGAGGGTGTCAGGATGTGTCTGTCACAGTGAACAGTGAAGGAATCAGGATGCATCTGTCACAGTGAATGAGTGAGGGAGTCAGGATATGTCTGTTATAGTAAAAAACGAGGGAGTCAGGATGCGTCTGTAACAGTGAAAACTGAAGGAGTCAGGATGGATCTGTGACAGCAAACGAGTGAGGGAGTCAGGATGTGTCTGTCACAGTGAAAACTGAAAGTGTCAGGATGCGTCAGTCACAACGGACGAGTTAGGGAGTCAGGATGTGTCTGTCACAGTGAACAAGGGGAATCTGGATGTGTCTGTGACAGCGAATGAGGGAATCAGGATGCGTCTGTCACAGTGACTGAGTGAGGGAGTCACGATGCATTTGTCACAGTGAACAAATGAGGGAGTTAGGATGTGTCTGTCACAGTGAACGAGTGAGGGAATCAGGATGCATCTGTGACGGTGAACAAGTGAGGGAGTTAGGATGTGTCTGTCACAGTGAATGCGGGAGTCAGGATGTGTCTGTGGCAGTGAACGAGTGAGGGAGTCAGGATG